CTTAATTCGTTCACGTGAGCTCTCATGTCTTGTCCCAAGCAACCGACTTCGGAGTTTGATCCTGGTGAATTCTTCCAAGCTGCAGTTTTCCTCTCCAAGATGACACTCTTACGTTTACGTCTGCGTGTTTTGGGATACTCAATTCGCAAGAAGGTCCCACATGGATCCATCAAGCAGATCATGGGATTTCATTCAAGCAACTGGCAAGCAAACCACAGGGTGATGCAGATCGCTCGGGACGAGATCTCTAATGAACTCCGAGTCATGCAACAACTCCTGCCCTCCGTGATGTGCGGACACCTGGGACCCAACTATGATCGCCAGGCAGCCTTCAGATTTCTACAGGAGTCGGCCAGCACCCTGCGGTCAGACTCCTGGAACCATTTTCTCCGTCACCTGAGGAACGGTGGAGACGTGTCAACCAAGGCCCAACCAGAGCCCCCCCCCCCATCAACTTATCAAGGGTTACGTTGTCTCCGGCCACGGAAAGCCTGCTCGCCCATGGACTTAAATTTGCCCCGCCCGTGAACAGCTCCAGAGTCGACGAACTGGCGTCGGTGTACGAGATCGCCGCCAAGATCTCGGAGGATAGCCGTCAAGACTTCGTCGGTGCTGGAACAAGGGCTGTGTGCTTCCACGGGGGGAGCAGGAGAGCCAAAAACGCCTCTACGCCAGTCATCAAAGAACTTCAGGCAGGTGAGCTGAGTTTACTTCAAGCTGACAAAACGGGTCAGTTCGTCATCCTGAACAAACAACAAATGCAAGATAAATCCGACGAGCCTCAAAACGCGGCCATCCAGATCCCTCAGGTCCAGGGTGAAGGCAATCTGCGATTCATCTAACCTCCCTTCTTTAAAAAGTGCCGTTCTTGCCCCAGCGAAGCAATACCTCTCTATTTTCTTTTCCTCTAAAACCCACAAACCAGGCGTGCCGTTCCGCAGCATTGTATCCGAGACGGGGTGTTGGCAGAGGCCTTTGGCGAAGTTTCTGCAGAAACATCTCGGCACGTTAGAGCTCCCCCAAGCTTTCAGACTAAGAAATTCGGAAGATCTCCTTCCCTTGCTGGACGAGTTACACGCCGGCACTGAAGCTGTAAGAGCGTTCTCGCTCGATGTTGTAGATCTCTACTATAGCCTAAACGTGAAGACCCTCCTGGGCTTCATTTCTGACGCCATCCACGAGACAGGTGTCATAGACTTTCAAAATTCATGTGGCGTCTCGCTGTCCTCATTTCTCGAATTGACACAACTGTATCTCCAATCGACGCTTGTTGAATATGAGGGTAAAGTGTACATACAAAAGGCCGGCGTTTGTATCGGGTCTTGCTTGGCTCCTGTCCTCAGCGAAATTTACCTGTTTTATGTTGACGCCAAACTTCAGGCGGACCTTCAACGAGATTTTCCCGATGCGAAGGTTTTTCGTTATGTTGACGATTATCTCATCCTACACTCCACCATCTCCGACTCTGCAGCCATAGAGACCGTGTTCCAGAAGAACTCACATGGGCTTACGTTCACCAAAGAGGCCCCCACCCCTGAGGGCTTACAGTTCCTGGATCTCAGGTTGGTCCCAACTAGCAAAGGTATCTGCTGGGCTCACCAGCAGAGGTCCCCTAAGCCCGTTCTTCCTTTCAACAGCTCACACTTAAGGAATGTAAAAAATGGGATCGTTCGAAATCTATAGTTGCTTCGGCAAAGGTTAAATCCTGTCAGCACCTTTCCGCCCCCAGCCTATCCAAGCAGATTAGTCGCCTCATAAAGGCAGGATACCCGAGAGACTGATTGAAACAACAATCAAAAGACTTGTCGCGGGGCAGAAGTCCAAACCTCTCCCTCGTAAGTCACGCTTCGCGTGCATCCCCTACATACACAACACCTCACATCGCCTGAAAACTATTGCGCTCGGCTTCAACACCAATGTTGTATTTTCCTGCAAGTTCAAATTAGCTTCCATTTCTAGAAAGGTCAACAACCCCGGTCCAGCGCCCCCGTGCCAGAAAAAGCACCAGACCAATTATGTAACCTGCTGCAAAGAGTGCGTGTATTCGATTCCCATGTCCTGCGGTGCTAAATACATCGGACAGACGGGCCGATGCCTAAACGATCGGGTGAGGGAACATGCAAACAAGATCAAGAAAGCCGCCTCCGACACTTCGGAGATTTGTTACCACCCGATTGCCAAACACACCTCTGAGTGCAGCGAACCCTGTTCGGCCGACCTTCCCTCGACCACCAGGGTTGGAGGTCACGCCTCAAGATACGGACGAGAGATCATGGAGGCCTTCGCCATGCACCACAATCACAACAACTTCGGATCCCCGTCCATAGGCTTATCCAGGAGGGAGATAAACTTCCTGGGGCCAGAGCTGACGTCCCTCGTTTCCGCGGCTCCGAGCGATTAGATGTCTACCCCACGGGATCGTCCCTCATTTCCCTGGCTCTACACCCTCTCTCATAGCTTTCCCACTTTCCATTGTAGCGTCTTTCACCCTCCCCTCCTTCACCTATATATGCAAACTTCGGGTCAATAAATGTTGTTGCTAGTTGGAAGTCTTCGTTGTCCGTTTCCCCTTTCTATGTATCTTCTTCGTGTCTAATTACCGTTACCAACACGCTCGTTTTGTACTTAACAGATGTTCTTTCAACCTATTTTTCCCTAGATTTGATTTCAACCCTTGAAGTGTTATATTGTGTTCTATGTTACCCCCCTTATGTAATGCCCCCAGGGGCCTTAAGGTACAATAAATGAAATGAAATGAAAATCATCATCTACATAACAAGGCCTGTGGCTGAACTTGCAACATCACCTAAAGAGGCCAACGCGGCCGGCACGGATTGGACACGGGTGCTGCGTGAGCGTTCGGCTGAGACTCGTGACCTTACTGGTTGAAGACGAGTCTCAGCCGAACACTGCCGCAGCACTGGTGTCCAATCCGTGCCGCCCGCGGTGGCCTCTTTAGGTGGCGTCACAACTGCGCGCGGGCTTGTTATCTCCATCTCACCGTAACTTGGCGACGCAGTACTGCGGAAGCCACGGACGGAAGAGAGGGGAAAGCCGCTTTTGTACGAATTTTGAATGACGGGTTAATCTTCAAGAGGGAGGCAAATACTTCACTAGGGGAATACAGGACACTCTCCTCATTTGCATTAGACAGAACGATAGCCGCGCTGAATCATCCCCTGGTGGAGTGGTTTATTTTGCGACGCCTCTCCCCCAACCCCTGTCCTCTCGCCGCCAGAGCGTGCCTCGGAATGAGGCAACACCCTCTAGAAACGTTTTAGGCCTTAGCTCTCTTCCCGTGACGTCACACGATAGGGCGGATTGGTAAAAGTGCGGAGCGCTGTTCAAGAGAGGTTCTCGCACCGATTTACCGCGCGGGCACTTTTTTTTCTTGCAAGAATGAGCATGCATGTGCTGTAAAAGACATTTCACTGGACGAAAATTATAGGAGCGAAACATTTATCTACACAATCCAGTTTCGTTTGTGTTTGCGCTTCATCAGGAGCAATACACCTATTTCTTCTGGAAAATTGCGGCTTTCCGTTGTTTTTTTTTTTTTTTTTTTATTTGTCAGCAGCGTCGAGAAGCTTGTCGTTTAGCTTTCCACAGAAGCTCTTCAGTAAAATGTTCGTGCTGCACCGAAGGATGTCTTTCAGCACAGATTCACTCGAGTGGCCGTTCTCGCAGGTGTCGAAGTCAGATGACTCTTCGTTGGCCAGAAAATGCAGCGTCAGTTTCGTGATCACCTGGCGCTGTTCGGGCATTAGTAGCAGTTCTGGTTGCGTAGCGAGCTGCTCTACGACAACGTAGTTGTGAGCAACAGCATTGAGCGCGAACATCGATGGGTACAGTAGACCTCCTCGGTCTAACTGCTTCGCGAGATCATAGTGTTCATGGGCGGCAGACACTGTGATTGTCTTATCCACAGTCAACGCGTCCTTGCATTTTGCGCAATTAAACTTCTTAAGGGTCACGTACACGGCATATCCTGCAACGTAGACTAGGATCGGAAAGATGTCCTGCATCTTCGAAAGCGTCTCGCTGCTTACAACTACGTTGCAGCTGGGATGCATTGCCTGTACCTGCTTCAGTACACATTCCCAATGCTGTTCAGTGGAAATAGTCGGCAAGGTGCTCTGCATGCGCAGCTTGTTTTCGACTTCATAAATCTGCCTGATAGAAACATGATACTGCGCACCTGCCAGTTGTCTATACTTTCCAAACCGGTCCTCTAGGCAGTCCGTTTGTATATCTTACCAAAAAGAACATAGGTCATTTTAAGCTCTTCGAAGCTGTACCTAGCGAGCTCCACAAGCGCATAGGCAGTGTGCTCGAGCGCAGCGTGAGTTTCCTTTGTCAGAGTACCTTTGTCAAGGCCTTTGTTTTTCCACTCATCCAGCCATTTCAAAAGCAAGTGCAAGAAGTAAATTTGTTGGATCGTTTTCCACGGAGACCACTGGTTGTTGGAACTGGTCTCTCAGCCTCTTTCCCTTCCGCGGAGTTTTCACATTCACAATTTACCACCACTTGAGTATGATGTCGATTAAAGTAGCAGTGGCCTCAAATGAGAACAGGTTTTGCTTCGCTCCAAGAGCACGCAATGCCACAGGCAAGGAATCATTGAAGATTTGCAAGGCAAGCTTTACGTTCTGCCTTTCAATATTCGACGGGTAAAGGGCTTTTCTCGATAGCCCATAGCCATATTTCAACAGCTGGTCACATTCTTTGCTGTGAAGGTCCCTGATTGTCGAAAATCAGGGACCTGGGACAAACAAAAGACGGTAAGAGGGAAGTTCCTTCTTCTCAAACTGCTTGGGATATGCTTTCGCCCCCTTTGGTATAAGGGCCATCACGTGCTTCGCCTCTGTCGCGCTGGTTGGCTCACTGTGACTCGCCTTCACCGTCACGTGCCGTTGGCCAAGTTACAGTGAGAGATAGCGCGCAATTTCGGGAAGGGTCCGTCCACCAATGCAAATGCAAGGCGGAACTTTGGCTCGCAGCGTGGACGACCGGCTACACGTGAAGCTGGCGGACAGCGCCCTGTCCAGGGACCTGTACCCGGACGACTACCACTGCCTGGGCGACGGTGAGAACAGGCCCGTCAAGTGGCTGGCCCTCGAGAGCCTGGTGCGGGGCCACTTCTCGGCCGCCAGCGACGTCTGGATGTACGGCGTCGCGCTCTGGGAGCTCATGACGCTGGCCCAGCAGCCTTACGCCGAGCTGGACCCTTTCGAGGTGGCCGCCCACCTAAGCCAGGGCTACCGCCTCGGACAACCCGTCAACTGCCCGGATCCGCTGTGAGTTGGTCTTCTCGGCATACGTGTCACTTCGGTTAATGCGTAAAAGGCCAGTTCACACACAGCACCGTTTTCTTACGTTGCATTATGTTACGGAAGCTGACGTCTGTTTGCGTTGAGAGTCACCAGGACACCCGTGCTTCGTATGAAACCTTGCAAACAGTTCAAGGAGCAACGTTGCACGCGCCATTCGGGGCACGGATCTTCCGGTGACTTATAACGTAACGTAAGCAAACGCTAGTAAAGGCTGGTGCACGAATTTTGCGTTTGGGCGTTATCGACTTCGCAACCACTTGTAACTTACTGGTAACCCCTTACACTCTTACAACTAGTGTGCCTGGAATTCGGAGTATTTACGACTAGTCCACGGGAGCTTCGGCATTCGGGAGTTGGAAGCAGTAACGACAGGAACACTCGCGTTTGCTCTTGCCTTTTGCCGTAACTTCTTCTATTGGACCAACCCCCGGAACAGCGACATCCAACAGCATGACACTCCGGCTTGTGTGACGTCATTTGTAGCCATTTAAGGAGCCCTTTCGATGCATCGGCGGAATAGGACTCTAAACACACCGGTAGGGGACGCGCTCCAGGCACTTCAACGGCAGAGCACCGAATGATTAGTCGTAGACGTTGAGCTAGCTGCTTAGAGCCGCGTATAGAGAGAGTTTGGTCAATTGGAGGAGCGGGCGAAGCCAGGGCGTGCACCAGACGCAGAAAGAGGGCTTGACATGCTCTCTTGGCCAACCAGAAGCCGAAAGGAATCCCCTAGCGGTGACAGCGGAGCATGAGCGGACATTCTATCGCTCGGGAAAAGTGTGTTTCGGCGTCTCGCCACAGCGGGGCGCCCGTTACATGGCTCTCTAATGCCCCTGATTAAGAAAGGTAGCGGCATCTTCTCCCTCCTCCCCTGATGCGCACACCTTTCATCTTTATGTCGCGTTTTTACACCTGCGCGTCGACTGTAGCGCCGCCTGGATCGGGCCAAGATAGAAGGCGGTATTCTTCAAAGGATGGCGCTACTTTTCCGTATAAAGGGGCTTTAGGCTCTCCCCTCATCCGTTGTCTGCCGCTCTACCTTTTCACTTTCTGCGGCCGCGTCTCGTGGCGATCTGCCAGGCTTTGTCAGTATAGAGGAGGCTATGTCACATCATTCTCTTTGGTGCTTGGGTAATTTAGCTAAAAGTTTGTTATCGGCCAATTTCTTTAACAAGTGTGCCATGTAAAATATTTGAACACGCCATCTATTCACAGTCTGTAAATTATATTGGAACTAATAACTGATTCACAAGTTCAAAACATATGTTGTACACTTGTGAAGCTATGTGGCTTTAGAAGACGTTTTTCATGTGAGACGCAGTGACTATCCTTTAAATATGATCTTTATCATTCTCTCGTGAATCATTATGAAACTGACTATGTATTTTTGAATTGCTCAAAAGCCTTTGACAAAGTTTCCCGCAAACTCCTCCATATTAACATAAACTCCTGTATAACTAAATTAGATTCATACCTTTTAGAGCGCAGCTCTTAGGCGCCCGTTTCCGGCTTGAGAGGCGTCGCTGTCGCCGTCTGCGTCGGCGTAAACGCGGTGACGTTTCGGCACGGTTCCGAAACGTCCTCGCGAGGTCACTCACGTGACCTCACGGTTACGCCGACGGCGACGCCGACGCCGCTCGGAGGGAGGAGTAGCAGGCAGGATGAGGAGGGAGAAGGGGTATACCCTCCCCTCAGTACCCTTCCCTCCTCCTCAAGAGCTGCGCTCTAATTGGGCGTTACAGGGAGTTGTAAACGGCTTTCTCTTTAGAGCGCAGCACTTAGGCGCCCGTTTCCGGCTTGAGCGGCGTCGCCGTCACCGTCGACGTAACCAAGGTCACTTCAAGGTCACGTGACCCCCCAAGGTCACGTGACCTCCCAAGACACGTGGCCCTCTAAGGTCACGTGACCCCTCCCAAGGTCACGCGACCCCCCAGGTCACCCCAAGGTCACGTGACCCCTCCCAAGGTCACGCGACCCCCAAGGTCACGTGGCCCCCAAAGTCACGTGACCCCCGAGGTCACGTGGCCCCCTCCCCGAGGTCACGTGACCCCCTCCCCCCGAGGACAGGTGACCTCCCTGAAGCATATTAAAGCATGAGGGGAGGAGGAGGAGGAGGAGGAGGGGTCTACCCTCCCCTCAGTACCCTTCCCTCCTCCTCCTCAAGAGCTGCGCTCTAATTGGGCGTTACAGGGAGTTGTAAACGGCTTTCTTTTTTTAACTAACCACCTACAATTTGTTACTGCTAATAATACGAATTCTTGCTCTGTTCCAGTCAAGTGGGCTGTCCCACAAGGCTCAGTGCTTGGCCAGCTACTCTTTCGTATTTACATTAATGACTTGTCTTCTATTTGCCTGTTTAATGATGATTGCGTAATGTACCGGAACATAACATCTGACATTCTTGTGCTACAATCAGAGCTTAATCGTATATATCACTGTGCTAATAGAACTAAACATTGACAAATGCAAATCGACGAGGTTGTCACACGCCTATTTAGTATTTACATATATCTTGGTGTTCATACAACGTCTAACCTTTCTTACAAGATTCATATCGAATACGTAATTAACAGTGCTAACCGTTTGTTAGGTATACTTAAAATAAATTTTCTTCTCGCTCCGTCTTTATTAAAACTAACCATGCACAAAACTCTGAAAAGAGTCAAGGTACAGGCTAGCTGGTGGAGACCTGTCTGTTTTTTCTGTTACTTCTGCTCTTCTAAAAGAACCGTCTCAGGGTAAACGACGAAATGGTTTGCAAAACTCTGATCCGTTCGAAATTAGAATATGCTGTTGCTGTGTAGGACCCCGCTCACTCATCACTAATTACTCTTATGGAATCCATTCAAAACTGCTCAGCTCGTTTCATATTGACAAACTATCATCGCACTGCCAGCGTTTCTACCACAAAAAAAAAAAGAAAACTCTAGCAGGTCTGTCGTTACTAATTCACCGCCGACAAATCTCTCCTTTGTATCTTTTTCATAAAATATTTCATCAAAATGCTGCCCTTCGTCATAAACGAATTACTCCCACTCTCTACATCTCTGTTCGCATTGATAATAGCCATAAGGCAGGTATTAGAAATTTCAGAACTTTGTTGTTTCAGTATTTTATTATGCCTCAAACATCGATAGACTGGACAATACTTCAGCTTGGGCGAGTTGGTTAATCATGCTAATATGTTGTTGTGCACTGTGAAGTATTAGCAAGATAGACTGGAGCCACCTTCCCGCGTCGATTGCAAACATGGCTGATATTGTTTTATTTAAACATGCTATTACTAATATGTGCACTTTGTAGGTAATATTTTACAGAGCTCTCCCCTCTTCAATGTACTGACCTTGAGGGTATTTGAAATAGATAAATAAAGGGAGAACACTCGTGCGGGCGCAGAGCAGCTACTGAAATCCTTAACCTGTCACCGATGTAGGAAATCGCGTACCGCCGCCGATTCGCCATTTCCCACATGGTCCGTCAACGAACAGAGTCCAGCCTGGTTCTTTCACGGGAGCGGGATTCCGCTCCCCGTTTATTCGTACAATAAAACACAACACTCAATCTAAACTACAAATACAAGCTACATTACACAATTATTTACAAATGCACGTTAAGGCTAAAGCTAAACACAAAGGAGGCCCTTAGGCCTCGCGTCCCGCGATATCCTAGATCCGGTCGCCACCCACTTGCCTGCCAGTGCCTGCGTCTCGGTCTCGTCCGAAGTTCTTAGAGGCCTCTCGCCCCCTGCCCCACCGAGTATATCTATCGATGGGCGAGGAGGTTTCTCCTCGCCTGCCACGGGGGCGCCTGCAGCGCCCTCCAGTGGCTAGGAGAGAAAGCGGCGCGTCGGGAGCCGAATTCGAGATCCCGATCGACCCCGCGGCAACACGACCATGTGATCGTGCCGCGGCCAAGATTGGCCGAATGGTTTGATGGGCGCCCTCGTGAATTCACGGTGCGCCATACTCCCCTCTCCTAAAAATCGAAGTACGCCGGAATTCAGACGTACGGCTAGGCTGCTGGGAACACCGTCGCTTGGTTTGGCCTGGAGACCCCCCACACGCACACACACACCGCTGGTCCCATGGGTCGTCCTCACTGAGGTCCATCAGTTCTCCCGAGCACCTCACAGTAGACTGCGTCGACTTCGGCTTGGCGGCGGCCTCCGGGGCAACGGGGTCCTTGAGCAGTGTGCCTGGCCACCATGAGACTGGCCCCTCCACAGAGTGGTGCACCGGAGAGGGACTGTGGTTGCGACCCAGCTGCGACCGCCCTCCCGGAACGATGCGGGGCTGGAAGTCCAGTGTCACTGAGAACTGCACCCCGGCGTCCTGCGTGGCGTCGCGGACGTCCCACAAGGCTCCCCGAGCTGTGGTTCCTGCCGGGGAATACGCTGCCAGAAGACGAGGAGCTCAGCCCAAGCTGGTGTTTGTCCAAACGGCGACTCCTCCTTTCATCCCTCCCAGAGAGGACCATTCGGTGCACACCAAGTTGCGTCTCGAAGCAGCAGCCGCAGGGGCGATGACGCACAAGATGGGAAAAGTCCAAGGCGTGCGCCCAGCGAGGGAGCAGTACCCCAACACCAACAGCAACACCGCACACAAAAAACAAAAAAAAAACATTCAAAGCAAAAACAAGAAAAACAAGCACTAAAGGTTCCGAGGCACCCTCCCCCCACCCAAAAAGAAAAACAAAAAACAATAAAAAAAATATATATGCCGGGAACGCCGATTTCGGATCGTCCCCCCCTCTTCTTCCCTTTCCCGGGTTACGGAACGCCGATTTCGGATCGTCCCCCCTCTTCTTCCCTTTCCCGGGCCACGCACTCTACGAAGTTCCGATCCCATCGGGTTGCCTCCGGCTACGCGTGTTGTAGCTGTGCCGCGGTGGTCCCAGGAACTCCTGAGATCGTTGGCGCCCGCGAATGCCCCTTTGCGGCCGCTTGACCGGCTCATCCCCTTCCCTGGGGAAAAAGGGTTTCAGTTCGCCGATGTGAACTGTCCCGCGGACGAGATCAGAATTCTGGTCCCTCAGCGTGTATGTCAGTCGAGACTTCTTGGAATCGATGACAAAGGGGCCAACCCACTTGGGGGCCAACGCCGCCGAGAAGAACTTACTCGCATCGCTCTGCACGTGACTTCGCCGCAGAACGGTGTCGCCCACCTCGAACTGCGCATCGCGGTGCGCTTTGTCATAGGTGATCTTCTGCTCCGCCCGCGCGCGAGCCCTGTTTCCGCGGGCGGCGTCCAGCGCCCGCGACAGTCGCTCTCCTGTGCGCGTCGCGAAATCTTCGTACGAGGGCACCGCTCTGGCCGCGCTCTGTCGCGGGCGAAGAACCGCATCGGTCGGCGTAGAGAGTTCTCTGCCGAAGTTCAAAAGCGCAGGCGTGAACCCAGTGCTGCGGTTGAGGTTGGACCGCAATGCAAACGAAATCGAATCCAAATGCAGATCCCAGTCCCGCTGCTTTCGAGCATACGCCCCGAGCAGCGGCTTGATGTCGCGGTTCCGCCGCTCGGTCACATTTGCTTGTGGATGGTAACACGAAGTCTTACAATGCTTAATCCCGAGGGCCTGGCAGGTTGCCGCGAAGACTTTCGAGCAAAATATCGAGGCGTTGTCACTCACCAGTCTCTCGGGGAACCCGTAGCGACACCAGACCTCGGACAGCCTGCTCAGGACTCCCTTGGCTGTCACCTTCCGCATTGGAAACATCTCGACGAATCCGGTGAAGTGGCAAGTGACTACCAACACATGTTGATAGCCTCCGCTTGACCGCGGCAGGGGTCCCATCAAGTCGCAGGCCGCGATCTCCCATGGCCGCGTACTCACGATGGGCTCGAGCAGGCCGGGTGGTCTGCCCCCTCTGGGCTTGCGCTCTTGGCACACTGCGCAGCTACGGACATAACGGCACAGCTGCCCCTTCATGCCCGGCCAGGTAGCGAAACGGCGCAGCTTATGCCACGACTTCGGTGCACTGCCATGACCGTCCGCATCGTGGTAGTGACGCAGCGCTGCCACTCTGAGATCGCGGGGAATCACGGTCTTGAACGACTCACTTGAATCGCTCTCTTCCGGGAAGTAGCGCAGCAGGACGCCGTCCCCATCGATCAGGTAAGACTCCAGCTCACCTGCTTCAATGTCTGACTCCTGGGCGGTGGCACTTGGCCCTCTCGGTGTTCCGGAGTGCCGGAGCGTCTTTTCGCCCGTCTGGTCAGGATCCATCTCTTGCCTGAGCCGGTCGAAGATAGCGCGACAAAACGAATCGCTCTGCTGTGCTTCGTACAGTTCCGTTCGGTTGAACGCCGGTCCCAGTGAGGTAATTGCCTCAGCCAGCTGCGCGACGCCGCCACAGTGGGGAGCGGAGCGCGAGGCGGGATTTCCCGTCTCCTGGGGGATGGCCCCGCCTCCGTAGTCTGCTGCCTCGCGCGGTGGGGGATCCACGGGTGCGCGGGAGAGCGCGTCGGCCACCACATTTGTCGTGCCCTTCCGGTACCGAATTCGGTACTCGTACTTCTGCAGTGTCAAGGCCCAGCGCGCCAGTCTTCCGGCGGGTTCCTTGATTCGGGAGAGCCACGCGAGGGCCATATGGTCCGTCTCGATCGTGAATTCCGTCCCCTCGACATAATGATCGAACTTCTTAAGAGCAAAAATGATGGCGAGGCATTCGCGCTCACTCACCGTGTAGTTCTTCTCTGCCGGGTTCAGCGCCCGGCTGGCAAATGCCACCGGGCGGATCTCTCCCCCTGTCTCCTGCAAGAGCACCGCGCCGAGTCCTTGGTCGCTGGCGTCCGTCTGGATCGTGAAGGGCCTATTCAGGTCTGGCAGTTTGAGGGATGCTGTACGCGCCAAGGCCTCGGTCAGCTGGAGGAACGCCTCCTCCTGCGGCGCCTCCCATCGGCGGCGGTACGCGATTTCCTACAAATGGCGCCCAACGTGGGGCCGTCAACGAACAGAGTCCAGCCTGGTTCTTTCACGGGAGCGGGATTCCGCTCCCCGTTTATTCGTACAATAAAACACAACACTCAATCTAAACTACAAATACAAGCTACATTACACAATTATTTACAAATGCACGTTAAGGCTAAAGCTAAACACAAAGGAGGCCCTTAGGCCTCGCGTCCCGCGATATCCTAGATCCGGTCGCCACCCACTTGCCTGCCAGTGCCTGCGTCTCGGTCTCGTCCGAAGTTCTTAGAGGCCTCTCGCCCCCTGCCCCACCGAGTATATCTATCGATGGGCGAGGAGGTTTCTCCTCGCCTGCCACGGGGGCGCCTGCAGCGCCCTCCAGTGGCTAGGAGAGAAAGCGGCGCGTCGGGAGCCGAATTCGAGATCCCGATCGACCCCGCGGCAACACGACCATGTGATCGTGCCGCGGCCAAGATTGGCCGAATGGTTTGATGGGCGCCCTCGTGAATTCACGGTGCGCCATACCGACTATTAGCGACGTGCGCGAATAAAAGCGTCGCTGCGGTCAGCTATCCACGATTGGCCAAACAAGGGGCATGAGAGCATTATTAGACTGTTAACTTGGTCGGTGTTGGTTTGGGAATGGGATGGCTCCTAGCCTCCATTGTGCATTTTATACACACCATCGAACATGCCGTCGCAACTGACGGTAAGCAGCAAGGGTAACAACTCGTGACGTCACGGCGAGGCAAATCTTAGTCGTGACTCCACGAATAGAAAACATAAGAGGGCGCCACCGAAACATCTCGACGCTAATAGGAGGTATTGCTTAACTATGCTACCCGCTTTCTTTCTCACTGTCTTCAGTGTCACATAATAGACGCTGCGGGAGCAAGGAGCATACAGGACATACCCATAATTCCTTGCGTGCTTCGAGCTCGGCCTTCTGGGATTTTCGGCGAGTGGTCCATCGCGCATCGGACGTAAACCGGTGTCGCCGCACTTCCAAGTCCTACCGACACGCGCATTCGAAAAAAAAAGCTTGTGTGAAAAGTCAACAGGCCATTTCGGCACTCCGGTTGGTGGTGCGTTTTCGTGGACGTCACCTCACATGGTTTACGGGAGAAGAGGGAGGGGGAAGGGGGGATTAGGTATTGTGTTTATTTTAAGGGCCCATGAAACGAATTTTTGTCGGCGATAAATTTAGATTGGCATTTTACTAATAGCATATCGTTTAGTGGGCCAAAAGGAAGAAGCTAGAAAGTCTAAAGCCTGCATTTCGATACAAACATTTTTAAATACAGCGAACTCTTTCGTACCTCCTTCCCTTCGAAAGCTCTCTGCCTGCTCACTGTAATACATTCGCGGTACCCAAAGCGCGTCACCCGGCCCAAACGCACGTTACACGACACCGGGTCTACTTCTTCCCTTCACTCCAAAGCTGACAATGCGATGGAAGCTGTGCGCTTGCCAGAACAATCAGCTGCCTTCCCTTCATCACCGGACCTCATTCTCTGCGCGTGGGTGTGCGCGAGGGAGCGTGATCACGTGGAAAAGCGTGGCTGACCCAACCAGCACGTAGCTTCCACAGCACTGTCAGCTTATGCGGTGAACGGCGTGGGGAAAGCAACTTTAGTTGCAATTTCAAGCGACGGACCAATCAATCTGGAGGAGAATGGCCGTGTCCGGGTACACAAACGAGTGTCCGAGCAAGAGGGAGTTGCTCTTTTCCGTCTTCTTGAACTGTTCGGTACAGTGCGCGATGTGCGAGTTGAGGAGGAAAGCTAAAAAGGAAGGAGTTGAAAAATCCTTTCATGACCCCTTTATGCCTCGGTCCCTTTCTCTCTCTCGTAAACCAGGCGATATGACATCAGAGCGACGAAATTGGCTTATAGGCTTAGTCCAGAACGTTTTCTGAACACGCGACCGACACCTTTCGCTGTGTAATCCTTGAACGCCTGCTTTGTTGTTGTTTTCTCTGCGATCGCAGGTTCGGCGTGATGGAGCTGTGCTGGCGCGCCCAGCCCGACAGCCGTCCCGGCTGGCTGACCCTGCTACGTCTGCTGGCCGACCTGTACGCGGCGCTGAACCGCTTCATCTGAGAAGGAGCGCGCCTCATCGGAGGAACTGCGTCGTCCGGCCGTCGACAATCAGTCCGCCCTGCACTAAGGCCGACGCAGCGCGAGAGCCGCCCCCGAGCTTATTAGCCCGGCCTGGATCCGGGAAAGGGGCGAGGCTGCTCGTCTTCGCTCACAATCAAAGGACAGAGGAGGAGGACACAGAAGGGACAGCGTTGCGCCGCCGTCGCTTGACACACTGCTGCCCATGGACCCTTTTCGAACGTTTTTCCGCTTACGCCTCCCTGCGATCGACTCTGGGTACTGTCGAGAAACGCTTCGTACTCAAGTACGCCAAACTTTTCAACCTGCCAACAGGCTCCGGGCAGCAGGGTACGCCTCAAAAAAGAGGCTGCAGGTGTGACGCCGTTCGACATACATGACGACGAAAGAAGAACGCGCTACTTATAAACAAGTCAGCGTTTGTCCCTGTAGGCACTGCGCACGCGAAGAAACCAGATTTGCACGAGGTGAACATTTTCCGCATGCGCCCTGGGCCGACAGCAGCGCCACCGTTGAGACGTGACGTCGGAGTACCAGGAGGGCCACGGAGGCAGTAAAGGCAGCCAATGACAGAGAGCTGCTCTGCGTCGCTTCACTGCCCGATGGAGCGTCATGCCAGGCCGTCCTCCGATTAACATATTATTTCGCACAATGAACGACGCGGAGAAGCCCGTGTTGACTGACTGCCGTAACGTCTTTACAAAAGCAAATCGGCGAGAACTTCTCAACGTCCCTTTCTTATACGTGGCATAATGGCGATGTCACATCGGCCTTCCATCTCTCACGCGCATATGTCCCGCGGTCACTTCTGCACTTGTACGAGGGAAGGTCCTTCACGAATCGTTTCGAGAGCAGTTGCGTAAGAGAACCTGGGTTACAGTGTCGAGTGGTGGAAGTACCGTGTGACCGACAATGGACACATTGGTTGGAAAATGACTCGCTTATGCGTGCTGCTTTTCCAAAGGCGCAGCACTTCAGGTTTCGAGCATATTTTATTACGGCCTGTAAATACAATGTGATCCGTTCCTCTCCCAGCGCGTATTCGCTTTCTTTTTTTTTTTTTTTTTTTATTCGAAGGAACCGCCACCGCCATTGTGTGTCAAGACGTTTCGGCGGGAAGACGGATTCGCGAATTCGTCTGCTTCTTGCGCAGGGGTTGCAGTGACGTCAGAACGTCGAGCTCTGATTGGATTGTTAGGATGCGCATGCGCAAAGAGCGGACCAACTTGCGCTCCGATGACAGTTGCAGACATGAAGATGCACGAAAGACGTTTTTGCCTTCGTTTTTTTTTTTTTTTCTCTGGCTCTAGTTCAATCTCCCCGCTTCAGCAAATCTAACAATATGCACGTGCTTCCCGTTTAATCTTTAAAAAAAAAAAAAACGCATTTGAAGGTCAATCTGTACGCGCAGTGGAGGAAAGAGGCTGAGAAGTATATAATTAGGGTCAGCTGATCAATTCTTCCAATCGCAAAGAGAGAGGGTTGAGTCGGGTGACGAAAGGCAGTCGGGTACCGTCCAATTGCTTTGGCCAACTAGTTTTTTTTACCGCCTCCGCTTTTTTCTCGGAGCAATAAAAGAAATGGTGCGAATGTATACTCTCGTTTATTTATTTTTTTTATAGAAAAGCAGGATGCACGTGCTTGTAACTTGTGGCATTTTTTTTTTTTTTTTTAATTATTAGAGTTTGGAGATTAAGTTCCGTTATGACGCTCGTGCCGAGAACCGAGGAAGTAATAACCTGGCCACTTGCAGCATTGTTTTGCGGTATCGAAAGCGGATAAGAGAGCATGTTTTACCCGGCGGATACTCTGGTACGCTTTCCTAAACTGAGCGAAACAAGGAACTGTATAAGGAAAAGAGGGTTGTCCGTAGAAGGCACTGAAACGTCCGCGCTCGAAAAAAAAATCATATTAAAACGACTCGGGAACACTCGGCGTCCCCAAGCCGTTGGTGTGCAGTTCCATCGGTGCGATAATTATGCTCCGTTCACCCCTAAGCTGACAGTGCCATGGCTATCTGGAGCGCAAGTTCGTCTGCTCCTTTTGTAGGGCTTCGAGGCAGCTGGCTTTGAGGTCTACCCACTATCTTTCAAGCGGAGCCAATCAGAGCTCGGCGTTCTGACGTCACCGTAACTCGTGCTCAAGTTCTGCTCATGTCCATGGGCAGAACCCCGCGTTCTGCCCATGGATATGAGCGGGAGCGTGATCACGTGCTGAAAGATGCACGCAGGGCGGGTGTAACGAGCATGTTGCTTCTATCGAGCTCAACTCCAGACGCAGACGACGCTATCGAGCTAACGATACCGATCAAGCAGAGTCAAAAACGCAAGTCACTGGGCCTTTTCTGTTTGTGATGAGTTCATCTATATAATATACGTACGAAACCACGGCGAACACCATTCTTGTGGGGTTTTGACGATGTCTGATTGTTCCCATCGACTCGTAGCGTCGGCTGCGTCTGTACTTGAGGTGAAACGAAGTATAGAGCGTTTTTCTCTGTTGCGGTCTGCTTTAACATTGCTGGAAAACGGAAGAGATCTCTCCTGCGATTTCGGATAACTGGTAACCGCGGTTTTACGCACAAAGATGACCGAAGTGTTGCTACTTTGAGGTGCAGCTCGTTCTGTCGGTATAGCCCAACTTCACGTCATGGTCAGTTCACAGACAGTTCAGAGGCGGTCCATACTTGCTCACTCCAATTGCGCCTCAAACGTTCGGGTGCGGGGAGACATCCGACGGCAAGCGCTCGCCGATGCTTACGTGATCAATGCTCAACTGCGTGAAAGAGGGGAAATAAAAGTGCCGTTTTTTTTTTTCCTTCTACCTGCCTGTGTGTATATCCGCGTACTTCAGCGAAGTACTGTGGCTCAGTTTTACGAAGGCCCGGCTTCTTCGCCGGTTCGCAGTGTTTAGGGTGTGCTTGCGTCTCGCATCTCATGCCTCTGCTGACGCCTTGAAATTTTCTGTCAATTTCGGTGGTTAACGGGCTCGCGGGCAATGGCTGCACCGATCACACGTGAACCTTTCCCCCTACAACCCCAGATTCCTGTGCCAAATCGGAGCCGAAAAATTCAGACAACCAGAGCATTCCTTTTACGAACTCGAGTTTCTTGATTGACTGAACCGCGTGTATGACGTGTACCGCAGCTCCGACAGACAGAACATCTTTTTCGCACGTTTTTCGTGCAGGTACGTGTTAGCGCCACAAAGCGGAACAATCACTTTCGCCACCATGCTCACGAAACGACAGAATTTTCGACATAAGGCACAGGCCCAAAAACATCATTTTAGCATGAAACGGTCTTTGGCTGAGAGTTCGGCATTTCGTGTAGCCCAGACAAACGTGAAGCCTGGATAAAAGCGTAGCCGCGACGCTCGACGCTGATTGGTTAATGTTCAGGTCATGTTATTAGAGGGATAGGTGAGGAGGAGTTCGACCACCTGTGCGCACTAAGAAAGAGGAGCTCGAGATTATGAAGGACTTTGGAAGATTGCCAAGTTTATAAGCCTGATTAGCAGTATCGCTTCATTTTAGTAAAAACTTCCAAGTGTACACACAAGGTAAACAATGTGAAGAAAAGCGTCGTGAAAGTAGACGTCTGGAAACTCGGAGTATCGCTAAGCGTTTGTGACGCTAGAACGTTTTACATATGCAACACAAATGCCTAGCAATCTGCCATAAATTTGTTTTAATTTGTTTTTCGTTTTATTAGTAGCAAGGTATGACTGGTTCTCCAGAAAGACTGCGTCTCCGCATAGGTGTTATGATGGTCGGCATAACGGTGTGGAATAGATAATTAAGTAATATTAATACTTTAATTAACCCGTAATCTTAAAACTAAGTAAAATTGTGCGTAAGGCGAAGCAAAAAGTATTTAACTTATGCAAAAAATCTTGCCGTTCTACAGCACGCATGACAAATTCAAGCTTTGATCGCGGTCATATATAAACAAAATAATATATATTATATTTATATTCCGCAATGAAGCACTATTATACCGTGCTACTAATAAAAAATAAACCATATAAAAAACGTTGTTTTGGAGATAATCAATTTCGAATTTGCTAATTTACCAAACATTCGTTCATTCGAATGAATGTAACAAATTTTATTCTAAAAATATAACATTGAATCTGTATTCATTAAAAAGAGCTAGGTGTGAGCTTTCTGCTGATGTCAGGCATTCAAATATCTTAAAAAGATCACACGTAAAAACATTCCAAACTTAGCCAAACTTCATCAAAGGAACTCAGGATCGGAATTTTGTTTCTTCAATTATTCTAAAAAAATGTCCTAAAGTTAATTCCAGAAGCCCGTATCCGGCACTATTTTTAAACATTTCGTCCTCATTGTATTCCCCATCTCTCACCGCTCGTGTTCCCCACAAATGACCTGACGTCAAGGTGGCGCTTGATTACAGCGGAGCCGTTAAGGGCAGTTTCCCCAGCTTCGTGTCCGTGGACAAATAAATCTCGACACAACGCACTGGACAGCTACCGCCATCTATGAGCGACGGCTGCACTTCTCTTCCTTCTTCACCAAAATAAAAAAAAAAATTGCAACTTTTTTTTTTTTTTTTAGAAGCGAGAAAATAGTTTGAGCGGTCAAACATGCGATACCCCGACAGGTGGGAGAAACAGCAGTTTTCGCCTCGGTCACACCAGTCTTGAACACATAAAAATCCGCCAAACTGCCGTTTGCGCTTTCTTTTATTTCAAGAATGCCCCCAAAACATTCTTGTGTTGTAGAAATTAAAAATTCGACCGTAAGACCGTGCTTGAATTGGAATGAACACCCGTGTATTTATTCAGTTCATATCCGAAAATGGAACCTGTACTGGTATTCATATTAATGGGGTCCGTATTAACGAGATATGACTTCTTATTACTTTTTGTAATAAGAATATACAGGGCGTATTTTTTTAGGCCTTACAGATTTGCTTAAAAAAGAAAAAAAAAATGAAAGCCGTTTACGAATCCCTGTAACGCCGAATTGGAGCGCAGCTCTTGAGGAGGAGTAGAGAAGGGTACTGAGGGGGGTCACGTGACCCCGGGGGGGGGGGGGGGGGGTCACGTGACCTCGGGGGGAGGGGGGGGGGGTCACGTGACCCCCCCCCCCCCCCGGTTACGCCGACACCGCTCAGGCTGGACGGGCCCCTAAGAGCTGCACTCTAAAAGCCATCAAAGCTACACTAATGCGGTTTGTTCGGGTGAGTTATATGTAGGGTTGTTCGTTTTCGGGTAAAACCCGATTTTACCCGATTTGTACACCCCGAACATGTTTCAGGAGAATCGGGTTAAACCCGATTTCTCCCCGAATTCCAAAACCACATAACCAACGTATTTATTTTTACTCCGCACGGAGTTTGCGGTGCACATGCGCCAACTACACTGTTAGCAAAAATAACACGCCCAGACGTGTAAACCGTTGTCCCATAGCGGACACGTCGAAACGTGTTCGTTTTACACGAGGCCATCTGTGTTTTTCGTCTACACATGAGGTGCTGTGTAAACTTAACACGCTACACTGCGTCTGCCTTCCGCAAAACCGTTTCGAGCGTGTTCCTTATGAAACATGGCGGCCAGCGGCCGAGAACAGGCGAGAGACGAGCCCAGCGAGCCGCACGCCTTTCATCCGAATGGACCTCTTGGCGAATATGTGCTGCCCCCTAGACACGCGACTGGGGTCGAGGCTAAGTGGCAAGAAAACAACGCGCGCGCGAGGCCTCTCCCACCCGTTGCACTCCCAAAACGTCAGCTACATCCTGTTCACCCATTGAGACGCTGTGACCTAGATCCGGCTCCCCCAAACTCGCCTTTGTCCCCATCGTGAGTAATCTTCTGCCCCGAAGTCGACACAACGAAACCATCTTCCCTCTCTGCTCGGACAGAAGGAAGAGAGAGAGGATACTGGAACCAGTTACTCTCGAACCGATGTTTCTGCAAAAGGTCCATTGAAAGCACACAGGGCGCGTTAGTTCTCGTTCGATGTCTCCAAGCGGCGGACGTAGCTACTTGCGAAAGGTACGTACGT